GGGGGTTGGACCCCCTCCTGCGGTTCATGCCTGAGGTATTTTTATCGCGAGAAGGGTACAGCAATCCCTTCCCTCGCGACTTACGAAGTCGATTATGGTTTACTAACAAACGAGCTTTGCAGCGCGTCGCTTTCATCCTAGACCAGGATTTATTAAGTGAGAAAAAAACTCTCTCTGCCGGGACTCGAACCCATGACCTGGCCCTTAGGAGGCTGCGAGGCTACCCACTAGACCACCGGGGCGACCGGTTTGACTGGTTGGTGTTGATTAGGCTTGTTCCAATTTTTACTGATTTTCAGTTCGACCTCGGTGGGGCAGTACGGATAAGGGGAGGCGCTGATCAGCAGTGATCGGAACGTTTTTTTGTTCGCGAAGGCGACAAAAGGAGAAGAAGCGGCACAAAATGGTCGCACACGAAACGCCAAAAGAGAGGCCCACCTCTCACCTCTCATTCCACATGCCCCCCCCAGGTCGCCACGATCACGGGGTTCAAGAACTCGGTCATTGGGGTCTCGGCCTCCCCGCTGAACAGCATGTTCGCGACTGGCAGCGGGGATAATCTCGTTTGCGTGTGGAACTACGGCGTCCGTGACGACTATCGTCGCCAGTCGGGGAACACAGCAGTCGCCCCCGCCTCCTCGGGTCGTTCGTCGTCCGCGGAGAAGCCGAGGCCCCCCAGCAGGTCGTCCCGGTCCGCGTCCCCCCCGATCCCTAACGCGTCGTCCCGTAGGAAAGACGACCGCGCTTCTTCCCTTTCTCCCCCGCGAGCATCGCCGGGTAGAGGGGGTAGGGGAGGGGATGGGAATGGCGGAAGAAGCAGGGGCAGGGGGGCGGTCGGGCTTGTAGAGAAGGGACGAGGAAGCTCGGCGGGGGCCGGGGCGACCAATGGCAAGGGGAGGACGTCGCCGTCGTCGGATGAGCGGGAGGGAAGGACGGCGGCGGGATCCGAGGAAATGAAGAGGTAGGTGGTGGCATGCCGCCCTTTGTGTTGCTGCTCCTCGACAGGTTTGTGCGGCGGGGAGCGCGCCAAATATTTTGCCCTTGCATGCTTGGTGCGTGCGGTTGCGCAAACCAACCAGCACATGCGCTTGCTTGTTGCCAACTATCTTCCGGGCGGGCACCCAGCCCTCCTCACGCCCGAGATGGGTAGCTTATAAATGACCGCAAGCACGCGCCCGGATGGGTGTTGCCCTTGCTCTTGTCAGTGCTGTCCTGTCATGTCTCGCTCACTGCAACGGGCCTCTCTCATCTCGACGCCACAAACGACAGAAGCGGTAGCAAGGAGTCGAGCAGAACGAGTCCCCGCGGAGGAGGCGGGGTTCATGACTCGGACGGAAAACACCAGCGGCACGAACCGAAGCACAGACAGGGACGTGCAGGTTCGCCCTCGGACGGCCGGCGCAGCAGCAGCAACAGCAAAGAACGAAGCAGCGGTAGAGGTGGTGGCGTGGAGCCGATGGATGAAGACGACGATACGGAGGAGGAGCAGCACGGGGAGGAAGCGGAGGGAGGCGGGGGTAAGCGGGCGGGGAATAAAGAAGAAGCTTCCCTCGGAAGGAAGAGGGGCTCGGGTGGAGTTGGTAACGGGTCCGGTGGGGGCAAGGCGTTGAATAGGAGCAGCAGCAGCAGCAGCAGCAGCAGCAGCGGCGGCGGCGGCGGCGGCGGCGCCCGTGGGCCTTCTCCGGAGAAGAGGGGAAAGGTGGCTCTCCCCCCGAAGAAGGAACTTCAGCGGCGAGATTCCCCCTCGTCGGCAGAGTAGGAGCGAGTTTTTAAATCACGTTTATTTGGCAAGAGAGAAGCCTCCCTTTGGTGTCGTGGCGTGCTGTTTTGTTGTAGGGGAAGGGTTCGGGGGAAAGACATACGGGTCCAATGCTAGTGCCATAGAATCTCGCCTTTCTCTGCTGGGAGCAGGGGGGGGGTTTACACGGGTTTGTGTTTTGTTGGGCGGAGCACTTTAAAGAGTTCAGGACGGAACGGTCGTGCTTTGTTCGGGCGGGGGGGAGCGGGGGTTCTCATGGGGGTATAGACTCTTGGATTGATTTCCGGCCCTTGCGTGTGTTGCCTGCGTGCCCAGTGGCGGCGGTTGCGGCGTGGCCATCCCTGGTGGCTGCACTTCCACGCTCAGTAAATTTAGGGCGCGCGAATACGGCAGCGGGCATGGTCCGCCTGCCTGGGCCTTCTCTCCGCCAAGCCGCCGCCGTCGTCCTGCGACGGCACGTGTAGTATGTATGCACTCTGGTTGTGCCGGCCGGCCGACGGCATCGCTGTGCGGAGTGGTGGTGGACGGATCAAAGCATGAACCGTTCGGCTTGGTGCGCATGCTAAATAGGCGTCAGGGGTGATCCGGCTACTACACTGCTGTCGGTCTGGAATTTCGTGTAATTTTTGGCACCAACCAGGGGCGACTTGACCCCCGTTGGCCGGACGAAGTGAGAGGCGAGCGCAGCGCTGTTGGGTTGTAGATGTATGTGCGAGGGTGCCTTTGTATCGTGTATTATACTTCCAGCTCCAGCAGCAGCGCCAGGAGCAGCAGTAGCAGCGGCGGTCACTTTGTTTAATGTTGCGGTGTGCCATGTCGACTTTGTCCTTTGTTTTCTTTGTTCGTACATGTATCGGTAAGGTGTTTGTCCTGTTTGGCATCATAAATTGGTGTATGTTGTGGGGGTGGTGCACGGCACGCTTCGTCTTGCTCAAGTACAGCAAGGCATTGCAGTGGCAGTTGGGTACGCCTTTTTGTTGCTACATTGCGGTAGTCGTCATCAATGCCGGTGACCAATGGTTGCCTTGGTTGTTCTCGCCCATCTTGGGGCGCATCTTCGCATTCTTTTACTCTGATTTGCGGTGGTTTAAGTCTCCGAGTACCTTGTTTCGTTTTGCAATCGCCGAGCTAGTTTGCTTTGGCGTCGATTTCTTAGAGGCGCTGGTGGCCGTAGCATCCTGTCGTGTGCGTGGACAATTGTATCGTCCCCACCTAACGCCCCCCTCCCTAGTGGTGATCGTGATTCTTGATTTCTCTTTGTGCGTGCGCAACAAACTGGCTGCTGTTGCTTCTGCCGTGCTTCGTGTCGTGCGATTTAAAACGAACTGCGGCGGGTTTTAAACCGTTGTGCTGGTCGAGTGCTGTCTTGTTTTTTCGCAGAGGTGGCGAGGTGGGGGCTTTGGGATATTCGCGGGGCGCACCGCCGTGTTGTGGAATTTTTGTTTTTTTGCACCAATCTGTTTTTCTGATTTTTTGGAACATTGAACATATACATACGGTCACTGAAAAGACTACCCGTTCGAGACAAAATACCACAATTAGTCGAAGGGGTGTGTCCCAAGTATTTGCAGTGAGTGGGGAAGAACCCCTTTGGCATTGGATTCTGTTTTGTTTGTTTGGCATACGGTGGTGGTGGAAACAAAGACGAAACGAACGTGCGGTGTAATTGTACACGGGTGACGGCAGCTTTCATCTTTTGCTTTTGCTTTTTTTTGTTTCCGGGGGG